ATTACACAGTTAAGAAATTATTAAGATTGAAGATAGAATGGTAAATTACTTGTATACCACAACATACTTTAGCTCTAAGCACTTTTTTGATTAAATTTGCATTAAAAGTAATCCAAAAGAGAGTAAAAACGACAGACCAAAGTCAACAAACATGAATAATCAAGACATTATCGATGTAGAAAATGAACAAAATGAATTATCGGTATTTAAAGAGAGTGAATTGGTCTCCTCATATATGCTTCTCTCTTTTCGAAAGGTTCCGAAATTCTCCCCTCAATAAAGATGAGACTTTACTAACTCCCCTTAACCCTTTATCTGCAATCAGTCATTTATTTTTTAATATATCTGAAAAAGAAAAATGAGTATAGCTTCCTGGGAGTATTCTTGATCATCTGTAGAAAGTATTTCGAAAAAATACGTTTGCAAAACAGTCTCCCNGAGAGAGAGAGAGAGAGAGAGAGAGAGAGAGAGAGAGAGAGAGAGGATGTAGTTAGACATGTCATCCGGTTTGAATTTGAATAAACAATTGAATCCAAAAAATAGAAAATAAAAAATAAACAAACAATAGGTGTTTAAATACTTTTTTAATAAGCAATATATCAAAGAAAAAAAAAAACATATTAAAATATAAAAATATTGTTTAGAAACAAAGCACAACGCGTACGACACACAGCTCCCAAGTTGTGAAACTAGTTATATCGCTAGAGAGCCGGTCCATTATCGCGTGTATCGGGTGACAAATACGTCTCTACTTCTTATAAAAAAATGTAATGATAACAAAAAACAAAAACGTGTTGATGCGATAAAGTCATCCTTGTCCAAATCTTCAGCTTTAAACAATTTTTTTTCTGAATATTACATACTTCTACTGCATACTTAGCTAGTAATGAAACGTCCAACAGATTCACTCTATAGCACATCAAACAAGACAATTAAACCCGGAACAACTGGCAGGACAATTAACACCCAGAACAACTGACAGGACACGGAACACCCAGAACAACTGAAAGGACACGAACACCCAGAACAACTGAAAGGACATTTTACAGCCGGAACAACTGACAGGACATGTAACACCCGGAACAATTGACAGGACACTTTACACCGGAACAACTGAGTGGAAACGTAACACCGGAACAACTGAGTGGAAACGTAACACCCGGAACAACTGACAGGACACTTAACACCTGGAACAACTGACAGGACGTGTAACACCCGGAACAACTGAGTGGAAACGTAACACCGGAACAACTGAGTGGAAACGTAACACCGGAACAACTGACAGGACATGTAACACCCGGAACAACTGACAGGACATGAAACACCCGGAACAACTGACAGGTCATGAAACACCCGGAACAACTGACAGGACAATAACACCCGGAACAACTGACAGGACATTTTACATCGGAACAACTAACTGGGCTCGTACCACCTGGAACATCTTTCAGGACACGTAAAATCCGGAACAACTGACAGGACACTTTACACCCGGAACAACTGCCAGGACACTTAACACCCGGAACAACTGACAGGACACTGAACACCCGGAACAACTGACAGGCCACTTTACACCGGAACAACCGAGTGGACACGTAACACCCGGAACAACTGACAGGACATGTAACACCCGGAACAACTGACAGGACACTTAACACCCGGAACAACTGGCAGGACACTTTACACCGGAACAACCGAGTGGACAGGTAACACCCGGAACAACTGACAGGACACGTAACACCCGGAACAATTGACAGGACATGAAACACCGGAACAACTGTCAGAACACTTAACACCCGGAACAACTGGCAGGAAACTTTACACCCGGAACGACTGACAGGACAATTTACACCCGGAACAACTGATAGGATTTTTTTACACACGGAACAACTGATAGGAATTTTTTACACACGGAACAACTGATAAGAAATTTTTACACACGGAACAACTGATAGGACAGTTTACATCCGAAATAACTGACATGATACTTAACGCTGGAACAACAGAAAGGACACGTCACTCAAGGAATAGTGACGGGGGATTATTATCACATAAATAAACAAGAATATGAAAATATATTTATACTGGATAATTGGTGGTTTTTTTTTACCGCTTTCGCTTGGTTATGTTGATATAAAATATATAAGTATTGATATGCTGAGAAAAGAGGAAGCAGAAATGGCGCAAAACAGATAGTTTTCTGCTTAATCATGATTTAGGCTAGTTAGATTTATCAAGTGTCCGAAAGAGATCTTTCTGTTTTCGTATCTACTATGCTTCTCCCAAGTAAACGTTCCCTTATATCGTGAATAAGACTGGCTACATTTAATTTTTTGTCTGATCGAGATCTTTCTGTTCTTGTAAAGAATATGCTTCTCCCAGGTAAACTTTACCTTATGTCCTAATACCATCCTATTAAGTTGTTAATACCTGCAACAAATCCAATTATCTTACCAAACCAGACTTATATCGACGTTCCACTACGATAATTGTCACGCATGTTATTAACTTCCTGATTTTGTTTCATTTCTTCTATTCGTATTCGACATTTTCAGGACACGTTTCATCCTGAGCAATAAAAAGGATACATTACATCTGGAACAACTAACAGCACACGTTACATCCGCAACAACTATCTGGGCTCGTACCATACGAAACATCTATCAGGACACGTTACATCCGGAACAACTAACAGCAGACGTTACATCCGCAACAACTGTCAGGACACGTTATATCAAAACAACTAACAGGACACGTTACATCCGGTACAAAAACCAGCACACATTACATCCAGAACAACTAACAGATCATGTTACATCCGCAACAACTAATTGGAAGCGTTACATCCTGAACAACTTACTGGACACGTTACTTCCGGGACAACTAATAGGACACGTTACATCCGGAACAGGCAAATAACTGTTCTGCGTATTCATGATTTTATTGTAGAAAGTGTTCTCTGCGCTTCAATGATCTTTTGTTCGGTTTCCATGTCTTTCTGTAACTTCTTTTGTTCCTTATCATTATTTTTTTCTTTAAACAATCCAACCATGGTTCCTATTGCATTTGCAACTTTTTCTGCTGCATTTCCAACGGCTACTACTGCAGACCCTACACTGTTCATTAGTCCGACCATAAAAGACTCATCTCCCTTTTCGCATTCCTTTCTAAAATCGTCACGATAGCTCCCACATTTTTCTTCGAACTCTTTTTCTCTTTACTCTAAATCGCGTTTCCTCCTTGACTTGATTTCCCATTCTTCAATTTCTCTTTCCATTGCTTCGAGTTCCTTTTTAGCAGCTTTCTGCTTTCGAAGTGTTTCTTCAAATTCCTGAGACTTTTCTTTTTCCTTTGTCTGAAGTTCCAATTCCTTTGCTCGAAGTTCCATTCGACTTGCCTCAACTTCTTTTTTCACAGCTTCAATTTTCTTTTGTTCGGTTTCCAGGTCTTCCTGTATCTTCTTTTGTGCCTTATCAATCTTCTTTTTTTCCTCAAGTCGGAATTCCTCAGCTCTTCGCTGAAACTCCTGTTCTGCTTTCTCAAACATCTCGTTTGAGTAGTATGATTTCCCAGTCTCATTCACGATATCTTGCACCATTTCAACCAGTTCAAGTGCATCGGCGCCAGTTTTCCGACCTCTTGGAGAGTTATCAAATGCTAAATATTTGTAACCACATCTCTGTAAAATGTCTTTCAGTTTATCTGGAACCTCTTTGATATACTCATGAATGGTCATACCGTTGTTTTCTAAGTCATCTTTTCGTGTAAAAAGTACTATCAGGTACTTGAAGAATTCTTCACCAAAGACATTACTGAAGTGGGTGATTGTGTTCTGCTCTTCTGGTGTGATGCGCCCTACTTGAACAACAAGAATAAAGGCGTGAGGTCCGGGAGCGAGCATTGCTATGCATTTAACGATTTCTTTTGTGATATCTTCGTTCGGTAATGCCGTGTCAAACAATCCCGGTGTATCCACTACTACCAACTTCTTGCCAAAGCGCTCCGCTGTATGGAATTCACATCTATTTGTCATTGAGGACATTTTAGACATAAAGGCTTTCTTACCAAGAATGTTGTTTCCGGTTGCACTTTTTGCAGACCCTGTGCGTCCTATCAAAGCTATCCGGTACTCGTTTTCGACTCCAGATGAAGTATATTGATCTACAACAAAACAATATCGAACATAAGTGCGTTGAAAAAAGACAAATGTAGACGAGGCAAAGCATATTGCTATCCACGTTCCAGTAAAATTGGCTGGTTGTGGGAAATTTCTACTACTGTAACATTATACTTTTAATTAGGTTTACTGTCTCTCAAACTGTCCATCTATCATAAAAAAACATATTTTCTCAAAATGCAAATTTGCAATTTCCCATAAAATGTCAGTAAATAATGCATACCAGTCACAGCCATTTCTGACATGTTTTCTGCCACAGGAATTTCTGACATGTTTTCCGTCATAGACATTTCTGCCATGTTTTTCGTCATCTGTGATCAATATAATATATAGTTCTCATAAATAATAACGACAGTATGATCTAATAGAGGCGATCCGAGCAAACAAATGTACGTTGGATGCGTATTATCTAAATCAGCAAAACAAATTTGCCTAATTTTCAGGGCAATCCGCAATTTTTTTAAGGGAGAAATATAAGCAAAAACTTTAACTCTCAAAATCCAAGATGGCCGCCTGTCGACCATTTGTTAATTCTATCAGTCTCAAAAGTAATCACGCACAATGAAGGACCATGAGAAACTTACAAAATATCCGTCCAGCACTTACTGAAGAATAGAAATAACAAACCTAAATTGTCAAAACAAAGTTAGCTGACAGTCAGGCATTTTGTTTATCTGACAAGTCTCAAAAGTAAATATACATCACAAGGGCAACTTACAAATCAAATTTGAGAAAGGACTCAATACTTTCTCACAAATAGCGATTACAAGAGTAGTTTTAGAATGGGCAACGGACGGACCACAGACCACGGACTAAGGGTGATTTGAATAGCCCACCAGCAGATAATGATCGGCTTAAAATTTGATGGTGGGTGCTAAAGACTGCGAGAGACCGGGTGTTTCTGTACGTCAAAATGGCAGACGGGATCACTTCCAACCGACCAGGTTGTAAACAGGTGTGATAGATGGAAAATGTTAGATAATGTGACAGTAACTTGATAAAAATGATGGTACGATGGAAGTTAATACCAATAAGTATCTGGGGTAGATAAAATATCTGGAGAAGTGCATTAGAAATGTTTAACAACAATGTTGTCTACCAAATGAACTCGTCAAAGGAAATTTCGTCTATAAAAACTCTCCCCAAAAGGACCACTGACAATTTCGTTCAAAAACGAATCAACAATTAGAAGTATAAAACACAATAGAAAAAAAAAGATAAACAAAGACGAAACTGAACACAATCAACTCAATATCGTCATTTACTCGAGAGTATTAAAAAGTTCAGGATAGCGAATGTCCGTCCACCCCAACTAGATGTTGTCTGATTTATTAACGTGTTCAAGCTCTGTAATAAATAAAGTTAAAACTTTGTTTCAGTTTTAAAATACATACCTGAAGTTTTCATGGTGACATTGACGACGAATTTCTTTTCCACTCGGGTCTGTATAACGGTCTCAAACACGGGTAAGGCTAAATCCAATAGTATGCTGATCTGGTAAAACAGTGCTTTTCACTCAGAGCTCCTTGATGAGATTGGGCCAAGATATATCACTTTTTATTTAACAGTTCAATAAATACCTAATCGTCCCTCAAAGTGCATTCAAAATTGTCCCGTTACCTTGATTCATGCAATCAAAGGTGACCGCTCCTTACTTACGAGAGAATTTATATGGGTTTTCCGGTCACGTGGTACTTGTGAAGTCTAATGAGTCGCCTTGGGTCACATGTCCATATAACAGCTGCATGTATTTCCAACATGTCACCATTCGTAACGAGAGTTTCTCCATGCACGAATATATACTGACGTGCAAGGCTGTACCGACAGCAAACTATGAAGATTAACTGTGGAAAAAAAATCAGCAGACACCGTGCACTAATCTAATTGCGGACAGAAATAATACTGGGAGGAATTTAAGGTACTATCTATTTTTAAACATTAATAAAAGTAAGTGGACCTGCATTTCTTTTCTCGTCGATTTTCTCAATCAGACATATTAAGATATATCCCTTTGAATATAAATATCTACTGAAATCAAAATAATGTTCAATCTTGAGCAGTTGTTAAAATTATTAGCCCTTTTCTTATTTACTATTTACCAATATAATGCGTTTCGGTCAGAAGCTAGTAGATCAACATCTTTTAGTAGCAATGTTATTTCCCCCTTAATATGTCACTTCAAATGTACAGGAATTATGCCCTATGCTTAACATAGTACTCGCACTTGAAACTGATAAAATATATGAATCACTAGCCCTCCAACATATAATACTGTCACCTTGAAATATAGCGTACTTAAGATAAGCTGTCATTTGCAATATTTGCGTTGCACACTCGTGACCATGTGCGTATTATCAATGTTTGTATACATATTTGTTGCAACAATCGCATGTATTGTTTTCTGGTGTAAATATTGGTTACATGTGTTATCTAGTGTTATAATGTTAATGTCAAAAACGTGGGCGGGTGACGGACGTTTAAATATGTGTACAGAAACAGAATAGAAGTGATACGACCTCGGGGCGGAGGCAGACAGCTGTGAACGCGCAATTGCCTCCTGTTGTGGGTATCGATACTCAAAGAGGCCTACCACAAGAGTTAAAGACACGAGTTACACACAGTAAAAAGTAGTAGGGTTGGTGTTTTAACTTCAAGTTTGGAAAGTATTTTGATTACAGTAAGATTGCAAGGAAATATCTTTTCTATGTGATTTAGAAAATCTATAAGAAGATGTTTATTTTAACTTCGCTCATTCTTATTTCAGCCTTTAACAAGACAAGGTATCCACTGACATTGTCCAACAGTTTAGCCTTGCAGTTTGCGACCGGTACTGCATTGAGTGTTAGTGTACGTGTATAGAAGACGCTCTTGTGTTATTTGTTCTTTTGTCCTAAAGTTTTGTCATTACTTTTCAATCTTTCAATATCTATTGCAAGTCCATAGCCAAATACTTTTTAACAAATCAACTCAGCCATATGATATCCGTTTGCGCCATTGTCTCTGAAAAACAGCACAGTACAATGTCGATCATATCTCCATAACGTCAATGTCCACAGGCTGCTGAGTATACGATAAATATCTGGGCATAGATGTAATCAGGTAGCTCTGACTGCAAAGTATTTTTTCTACCAGATCAACATATAGAGTTACGTTATTTGTCTTTTAAACCGTTAGAAAGACCTTGGCGTAAAAGAAAATAGCATCCAAGATCAACGTATTGGTGTATATGAATTCATAAGTGGTACAGTTTATGCTCTCTGCATGTCAGTGTAAATGCCAACTCATACCCCTCATTAAATTATTATAAGAGATTGCACACTAAAAAATCAGATAAATTATAGTTGGGTGGACGGATCTTTTCTGACCTGAACTATTCTTAAACTCACAATTGCCTGTTTTCTAAGTGAAATTATTTGATAAAAGTGATTCTTGTTGTTATCAAATTACAATCTTATACGAGTCTCGACTTGCTATTAAGTCAATGTTTCTTATATTTACTTATCGACTTGGTTTATTTGTCGGTTTGCTGATATTTAATTAAACATGTCAACCAGAAAGAAACGACTTCTCTACGAAGTTTATTAAAAGTATGCTTAATTTATTTGAATGCAGCACAATTTAAATTTACTGCACTTACTGATAGCGAAAGCTCAATTCTTGGAATAGCCAAACCTATTTTTCGAGAAACAAAAAAAATGTTCCTTGTGTTTAAGTAGTCACCAAGCATTCTATTTACGTGTTAACACTTTGTCTCTTACAATGTCGATGTTTCTGTATGGATTTTGCAGATATGATTGCTGATAGCTCCTCGAATAATGTGCAGTGTTTCTGACATATAGATTTCCCCTTCTGCCTAGCTTCGGTATACAATTATTAAGCTCCGTAGTCATGTCATGTACCCTCATTTGCTGCATGTTAACTGGTCTGCATGATTTCTTTTTCCAGTTTAAGTAAAGTTTACTTTGATCCCCAAGGCAAGAAGTGAAACAGTCAGCTGTGTAACACTTAAGCCATGTTTTGTTTCGGTTATAAATTGCAACATTACACCTGTAGATTTGTATGCAGTGTGACGCTATCGATAAACTTATACCTAGCAACCTAACGTTGGAATTTCTTTTTGCAGTTTACTTTGTGGTTGAGGGTACCTGTCTGAAATATAGAAATAAAATCCTCACATGAAGCGACCAATATTTTTTCCGGTAGAAGGGTTGTATCCGGAGACACAGGCCTTTTAGGATGGACAGGCAAACGCCTCCCTCTATATTTCTGCTTCTATATTTCTTCTGTGATCCATTGGGAATTTTCCATTACTTCTATCACTACCATATTGAGACAGCTTTAAGATGTCTAGTTGATGGTGTCCATGTCTATATCGTTATTGTCACTCATATCAGGTAGACAAATATGCAAACTTTCGAGCTTAGAAATGTCTTATTCGTCGATTTCAACCATTTTGCAGACGATATATTTTCTAACAGATCGATGGCGTTCTCTCTCATTTACGTTTGTGTAAGATAGAGCTGTCTAGGGTAAGAAAGGGGTGTAATAAATTTCTATCTAACATCCCATTTCACGTTACGTGACGTCACAATTGCTCAACAACGACATCACGTTCGAAGAAGTCCGATGCCGAAATGCGGAAAAGGCGACCTGATGAAAAACAAATTCTTCCACAATATATTGACCATTCAAATTAGAAAGGTTTATTTTCTTTCTGCAAACAATTGAATTTAAAACAAAAAGGAAAGAAAAAATAGATAAACGATATATACTTGAATCCTTTTTAATAAGCATTTCACCAAACTAAAAAACAACATATTGAAATAAGAAAATATTGTTTAGAAACAAAGTACAACAAGTACGACACACACTTTCCAAGTTGTGATATTCGTTCTATCGCTAGAGAGCCAGTCCCTTATTGCGTGTTTCGGACGCCAAATATGTCTTAACTTCTTACCCAAAAAAAAAAAAAAAATATCAATAAAATACACACAAATTTATAAGAAATTGAAAAAGAAAACAAATATTGTTGCGATAAAGTCCCATCGTCCAAATGATCAGCTTGAAACAATAAAAAAAATGACATACTTCTACTGTATTTAATATAAACACAAGTAATTAAACGTCCAACATATCCACACTACACCCACGAATTAATTTGCAAACTAAACTTGTAACTGCACAACAAACAGAACAATTACACCCGGAAAAACTAACAGGACACTAAACACACGGAAAAACTGACAGGATAATTTGGTAGCAGTATACAGTAGAAATGGCTTGATCCTCAAAATAAAGTGCATGTCTCAGA